AACTCAACCATCATTAGGGTGTAACGGTGATACACTAAAACGTTTTTTTAAATCGTGATTTTTCGTACAATCAGGGGCCATAATTCGGGAAGTTATGATCCGATATGTGCAAATATCGAAAGCAACCAAGATCTTTGGGTTATAAACATGCATTTCAAGTTTCATCAAAATCGGATCAAAATTGTGACCTCTAGAGGGTCCACAACCTTGATATACCAGATGTTTACAATACTTGCGTAGGTGGGCGGCCGTTTTGTCTGGCAGTTTTCGTCCGATTTTCACTAAATTCGAACTCGTTCATCATTGCAGTGAAACGATGATATATTCGAACAGTTTTTTAAATCCGATAATAATTGTGACCTCTAGAGGGACCACAACCTTAAAATGCGATTTTTTGTACAATCAGGGGACATAATTCAGGAAGTTACGACCCGATATGCGCCAATATCGAGAGCAACCAAGATCTTTGGGTTATAGACATGCATTTCAAGTTTCATCAAAATCAGATCAAAATTGTGACCTCTACAGGATCCACAACCTTGATATACCATATTTTTACACTATTCGTGTACAAGCGGCGGCCATTTTGTCTGTCAATTTTGGTCTGATTTTCACAAAATTCGAACTCAACCTTCATTACGGTGATATAATCAAACGTTTTTTTCAATTGGATAATAATTGTAACCTCCAGAGGGACAACAGGCTAAACAAGGCGATTTTTCGTACAATCAGGGGCCATAATTCAGGAAGTTACGATCTGATATGCGCAAATATCGAAAGGAACCAAGATCTTTGGGTTATAAACATGCATTTCAAGTTTCATCGATATCGGTTTAAAATTGTGACCTCTAAGGGTCCACAAGCTAAAAACGTGATTTTTTGTACAATCAGATCAGGGGCCATAATCCATGAAGTGTCGTTCCGATACATGCCAATATCATAAGCAATCAATTCTTTTGGAGATAAACCTAAATTTCAAGTTTTGTCAATATCGGATAAGAAATGTGACCTTAAGAGTGTCCACAAACAATTGTGAAACTTCCAATCAGTAGAAACAGGAAACACAAACCAAATACAGACGGTTTGATGGGATCAATTTTGACTTAGTCAAAATGATGCATTTGATATTCAGATAAGTTGATATAAAATAATTAATAGAATACAGTATCAAAAAACCATCGTTTTATCCAACGTTTCGTCAGTAAAAATACTAACCATTGAATGTAAATCAGTTTATATACATTCATATTACATTATTATATGCGTTGCGACCCACTTTTGTCAGTCAAAAAAAAAAAAAAAAAAAAAAAAATTGTGGACGGATGGACAGGGGCGACGACAATATACGTCCACATGAAAATGTGGGCATATAAAAACATGTGAATATATCACCATTATACACTAAGATCTTGGTTCCTTTTGATAATCGCGCATATCCAAACGTAACTTCCTGGATTATAGCTACTAATTGTTTGAAAAATCGCATTTTTAGCTAGCGGATTCTCTAGAGGTCACAATTTTTTTTCCGATTTTAAAAAACGTTTGAAAAGGTTTAATTAGAATTTCGGGAAAATTGAAATGAAACTGCCCAACAAAATGGCTGCTCTTTGTATGCAAATTGTGTAAAAGTATGTAATACGAAGGTTGTGGACCCTCTAGAGGTCACAATTTTTATCTGATTTTGATGAAACTTAGAACATATCTTTATATCCCAAAGATCTCAGTCCCTTTGTATATAATTTCTTTTAGATCATAACTTTCTGGATTATTGCCCCTGATTTTACAAACCAGCGGCTGCCAGGCAGGATTAGCCAACATTTTGCAAGAGATGGATAGAGAACAAGCTAAACAAAAATCAATTTTTCGTACAATCAGGGGCCATAATTCAGGAAGTTACGATCCGATATGTGCAAATATCGAAAGGAACCAAGATCTTTGGGTTATAAACTTACATTTCAAGTTTCATCAAAATCAGAAGAAAATTGTCACCTCTAGAGGGTTCACAACCTTGATATACCATATTTTTACGCTATTTGAGTACGAGGGGCGGCCATTTTGTCTGTCAGTTTTGGTCCGATTTTCACGAAATTCAAACTCAACCATCCTTAGGGTGTAAAGGTGATATATTCAAAAGGCTTATAAAATCAGATAAAAACTATAACCTCTATAGTCTATAGGGTCCACAAGCTAAAAACGCGATTTACCGTACAACCAAGGGCCATAATTCAGGAAGTTACGGTCCGATATGTGCAATTATCGAAAGGAACCACGATCTTTGGGTTATAAACTTACATTTCAAGTGTCAACAAAATCGGATAAAAACTGTGACCTCTATAGGGTCCACAACCTTGATATAGCATATTTTTGCGATATTTGAAAACGAGGGGTGGCCATTTTGTCTGTCCGTTTTGGTCCGATTTTCAAAAAATTCGAACTGGACCATCCTTAGGGTGTAAAGGTGATATATTTAAACGGCTTTTGAAATCGGATCAAAATTATGACCTCTATAGGCTCCACAAGCTAAAAACGCGATCTTTCGTATAAAAATGTGTGAATATATCACCATTATACACTAAGATCTTGGTTCCTTTTGATAATCGCGCATATCCAAACGTAACTTCCTGGATTATAGCTACTAATTGTTTGAAAAATCGCATTTTCAGCTAGCGGATTCTCTAAAGGTCACAATTTTTTTTCCGATTTTAAAAACCGTTTGAAAAGGTTAAATTAGAATTTTGGGAAAATTGAAATGAAACTGCCCAACAAAATGGCTGCTCTTTGTATGCAAATTGTGTAAAAGTATGTAATACGAAGGTTGTGGACCCTCTAGAGGTCACAATTTTTATCTGATTTTGATGAAACTTAGAACATATCTTTATATCCCAAAGATCTCAGTCCCTTTGTATATAATTTCTTTTAGATTATAACTTTCTGGATTATTGCCCCTGATTTTACAAACCAGCGGCTGCCAGGAATTTTCACAAAATCCGAACTTGACCATCCTTAGGGTGTAAAGGTGATATATTTAAACGGCTTTTGAAATCGGATCAAAATTATGACCTCTATATGGTCCACAAGCTAAAAACGCGATCTTTCGTACAGTCAGGGGCCATAATTCAGGATGTTAAGATCTGATATGCGCGAATATCGAAAGGAACCGAGATCTTTGGGTTATAAACTTACATTTCAAGTTTCAACAAAATTGGATAAAAATTGTGACCTCTATAGGGTCCACAAGCTAAAAACGTGATTTTTATACGCCCACATTTTCATGTGGACGTATCTTGTCGTTGCCCCTGTCCGTCCACAATTGTTTGTGAACAGTCTACAGGTCACAATTTTTATCCAATTTCAATGAAACTTGAAATATAGGTTTATCACCCTAAATTCTTGGTTCCTTTCGATATTGGCATGTATCGGACTGTAACTTCATGGATTATGGCCCCTGATTGTACGAAAAATCACGTTTTTAGCTTGTGAACACTGTAGAGGTCACAATTTTTATCCGATTTGGTTTAAACTTGAAATGTATGCTTATAACCCATAGATCTCGGTTCCTTTCCATATTTGTGCATATCGGAACGTAACTTCCTGAATTATGGCCCCTGATTGTTCGAAAAATCGCATTTTTATTGTGTGGTCCCTATATAGAGGTCATAATTTTTATCCGATTTAAAAAAATGTATTATTATATCACCGTTACACCCTAAGGACGTCTGAGTGTGAATTTCGTGAAAATCGGCCCAAAACTGACAGACAAAATGGCTGCCCCTTGTTCTCAAATAGCGTAAAAATATGGTATATCAAGGTTGTGGACCCAATAGAGGTCACAATTTTTATCTGATTTTGTTGAAACTTGAAATGTAAGTTTATAACCCAAAGATCTCGGTTCCTTTTGATATTTGCGCACATCAAATTGTAATTTCCTGAATTATGGCCTTTGATTGTAGGAAAAATCACTTTCGTTATAGCTTGTTCTCTATCCATCTCTCGAAAATGTGAGTGTATCCTGCCTGGCAGCCGTTGGTTGGTTAAATCAGGGGCCATAATCCATGAAGTTTCGGTCCGATACATGCCAATATCGAACGCAACCGAGACCTTTTGGAGATAAACCGATATTTTAAGTTTCGTCAAAATTGGATAAGAATTGTGACCTGTAGAGTGTCCACAAACAAATTGTGGACGGATGTCCGGACGGACAGGGGCGACGACAATATACGTCCGCAAAAGTAAAAGTAACGCATACACGATGCAGTGAAAAACGGCTACGGACACTGCGCAAGTGTTTTCAACATTTAACGATTCTCAAAACATTAGTTTTATTATAGTTTATTGCCGTCGGCTAATTTCCACTGCTGTATAGTGTATTTATGATCTATTTTTATGATAATTTTTTTCGATATTTGAATTTTTTGGCGATATTCTATAAACCACTATATCGACGATTTTTGGCCACATGATATCGTAGTTGGGTCTGAAAATACCATATCGCGATAAATGACTATATCGAGAATATCGTACAGCCCTAGCCCCCGAATCCATTCACTTTTTTGGAATTGTCTGTCTGTGTTTTCCTGAGTATGATGTCTTGTCCGTGTATTTGTTTTTGTGTAAATTTTGTGTGGTGCAGTCCCCCTGCACATACTATTAAGTTTCATCAAAATCAGATCAAAATTTTGACCTCTAGAAAATGATTTTACATACAATCAGGGGCCATAATCCATGAAGTTACGGTCTGATAGTGATGCATGCCAATATCTAAAAGAACGGAGATCTTTGGGATATACACCTATATTTCAAGTTTCTTCAAAATCGGATAAAAATTGTGACTTGTAGAGTGACCACAAACAAATGTGGATGGACGCCTGGACAGGGGCGACGACAATATTACGTCCACATGACAATGTGGCCGTGTAAAAATAAATATGCAAAACCCTTGTCAACTGCTCAGACGACTTGGCTGCTGTGGGTGTATGTTTTCACTTAAGAAAAAAAATAACTACCTGTAAAATGATTTTTATTGTTACACACATTACAGAAAACCTTTATATATAAATATATGGTACACCATATCAAATTTATTAATGAAACTCCTTAAGCAGGTAAATGCTTTACAACATGTGCGGCTTCAATAACAGTTTGTGGTGCAGGACGTCTTATTCTGGGATCTACTACTGGAATATTTAATGTAACGTTAGTTTTGTTATTGACAATAAATAGTGGGTTAACTTGGCTCAAGATCTCATCGTTAACGGATATACCATCTAAATATTGTTTGAGTAGGGTTCTCAGCTGTTGATTCTCTTCAGACAAAGTTTGTTTTTCTTTGTCTAATGCGAGCTTATCTAATAAAACTTTGTTGAAACGCTTCCAGAAGTTATCTAGGGAAGAGTATTCGTGCATAACTGTAGCCAGCTTTTCAGACGGTGGTTCCAGTATGGCTCCCTGTACATCTTCCTCTTCTTCCTTGGTTAATGATGATGCATAGAATGGTAAAACCTTCTCCTCCTCGGTTTCAAGTTTTCTACACATCTCAGATAATCGTAAAATCTGTTCACCTTTTTCACTCTGTCGTTTTAATTCTTTAATTGCTGCATTACTTTCTAGTGTAAGTTTTGTCAGCTTTTCTCTCTCTGCATCTCGTAGCTTGTTCATTTGGGCCTTTAGATCTTGAAAGTGAGACAGCATCTTTTCTCTTTCGTCTTTTAACTGTCGATTCTTCTCATCACATTCCTTGGCATTGCCAGACATCTTACTTTTCAGTGCAGCAATTTGGTCAGATATTCTTTGCAGCTTTCTCATCTGTTGTTCTATTTCCTTGGCACTATTTTCATCTCTTTTCTTCAGTCCCTCAAATGCTGTTTTACGTTCTTCTGTAGTTTCGTTGTAGTTTTGTAAAGCGGTTCTAAATTGCTGCCACAAATCATCAACTTTAGTTTCAAGTTGTACTCTTAATGCATGTTTTTCTTCTAAATTTTTATTTTTGATTTCATCTCTCATACTCTGGAAATCAGCTTTAGCATCATTCTCTCGCTCTTGGTAATTTTGTTCCATAGCAAATAAAATGTCTGCCACATCATTCATCTCCTGATTGTGTTGTTCTATTAACATGGCCCTCTCTGTATCAAACTCTTCCTTAATGATTTCTAACTCATCAGTGTACTGGTCTTCATATTTACTGAGGAGTTGTTGCTGGAGTGCTATAAGGTTATCAATATTTTGAATATGACTACGTAAAGCCATAGAATATTGTTCTTCAGCTTCCATCAAGTCTTTAGCAAGAGATTTAATCACAGCATCTTTTCTATCTACAACACGTTCAAATGTTTGACTCAATATTTCAATATCTTTCTTCAATTCTTTCGACTTAGACTCTCTCATTATGTTTCTCCATTGATGATTCAGTTTACTCATGTTAAACCTGGTAGCTTGTTCTTCTTTTGTTAATTTATCTTTTAAAAACTGGGTTAACATGTCTTCTTTCTTTTTCCTCATCTCTTCTTCTTCTAGGCGCTTTCTCTCTTCATAGGCCATTCTCTCCTCCTCTGTCATCTTTGACAGCTTTCCTGACTTCTTCTTTTTCTTGGCTGGCATTTTGATTGGATCTTATTTTACTGAAAAATAAAACAAATTGATATAGATTTGTGTAGCACTGACATCTTATAGCTTCAAATATATTTAAAGTTACAATTTCATATTTTCTAAGAAAGTCAAAACATAATTATTTCTACATATCTTTTGCTCAATAGGTTGTCAACTCACTATTATACGATCATGGGTTATCTTTCTCACACTTAAAAATCTTCACACCGGAAAAATTGTGACCTCTATAGGGTCCACAACCTTGATATACCATATATTTACGCCATTTGAGAACGAGGGGCGGCCATTTTGTCTGTCAATTTTGGGCCGATTTTCACGAAATTCGAACTCCGCGTCCTTAGGGTGTAATGGTGATATAATAATACGGTTTTTTAAATCGGATAAAAATTATGACCTCTATAGGGTCCACAAGCTAAAAACGCGATTTTTCGTACAATCAGGGGCCATAATTCAGGAAGTTACGGTTCGATATGAACGAATATCGAAAGGAACCGAGATCTTTGGGTTATAAACTTACATTTCAAGTTTCAACAAAATCGGATAGAAATTGTGACATCTACAGTGTTCACAAGCTAAAAACGTTATTTTTTGTACAATCAGGGGCCATAATCCATGAAGTTACAGTCCGATACATGCCAATATTGACAGGAACCAAGATTTTAGGGTGATAAACCTATATTTCAAGTTTCATTGAAATCGGATAAAAATTGTGACCTGTAGACTGTTCACAAACAATTGTGGACGGACGTCTGGACAGGGGCGACGACAATATACGTCCACATGAAAATGTGGGCGTATAAAAATATGAGATTGTAACTTTAACTCTGGCTCTGTTTTAAGGGGGGAAATAAGTCTATGGATTCAACAGTTGATCATGACTATCCTTACTTTAACTCTTTGGAACAAAATTTTGTTAAAATCACTCAAATGTGCTAGCTCTAGATGGATATCAATAACACTATAGTATAAAACAATGTCTAAATCATTACAGTAGTTAAATTAAATTGGGCACGAGGCAGACAGCTACCAAGACTGTCACATAATTTGGCTGTAATGTTATAGTTTGAAATGTGAGTCATCTCAATTTTTCCAAATAGTAACAGGTTCTTAGATTGCTTGAACATACTAATTTATAGGCCTACCTATAAACTAGGTGGTAAGCTTATTGCAGTGGGTTCACTTTGCCAAATTGTCAAAACGGCCATTTGTGTCTTTTTCATTGAGATTAAAGACTGTTAAAAATTAAGAAATGTATGTCTTAATTTGCTGGAATGAAATAAAATTTATTTTTTAATACTTATATGAGCCTAATTATTACTTTACTTACAATTTTATTTTTAAAAAAATCTGATTTGATTCCCCTCTAACTTGAATAATGGATAAAATAAAACAATGACACTTCTTATGACTAAAAAATGTACGGTCACCAGATAGTTATTGCAAAAACATTTGTGCTGCACTCACTAATCGACATAACTGTTGTCTTGTGGTGTCGTTTTTCTGGGTCAGAAGTTCCTTTTCAAGTACCGGTATATAAAATCTGTCACGGTTCAGACAGTAAGTATATATATGATTATTAATTGTTTTCTTTTGTTTGAGTTTAAAGGCTCTTGTTGGAACTGAATAATATGTCCCAATCTTTATTCTGGTCAACAAATTGTACTATTTTAGAATATTTCAATTAATTGATGATACAAATTTCATCTTAACTCACCTTTTCAAAAATTTTGAAAAATTCAACATAATGGTTTGAAACGTCTAACGTAAACCTTTTCAAATGAAACTTCGATTTAAAAATATTTTCGAACCCTCTAGACAAGTAAAATAGGATGTAATGGATAATTTACACAACAGGTAGGACACTTAAACATCTAGTACTTAGATAGAGATATTATTTATTTTCTGGAGCTTTCAAGCCAGCAAGAGTGTTATTGTCCCTTTAATCTGGTCTGCAGTAGGAAGTCATAGCCATAGGTAAGGTTAGTGGGCCTATTAATCGTGATCATACTGCGTGTTAGAAATGGTTCCACTACTGATGTCTTCCGCCTTACTCCAGCCACAGTAGTGGCTCGTCCTACAGAGTTCCTTTGCGCAAGTTTTTTAGTCAAATGACTACAAAAAGGTTACTGGCCTATAGCTCCCTTAATTTACACATAAACTGACCCAAAACAGTACTGCACATAGCTTAACATATAATAAATCAATTCCCATTGAAATAAATGTGAAGCCTTACCGCATAATTATATGATTTGATGAAACCGAACTGCTACGCGAAATTTCAACTGTACAGTGTCATGGCGGCTTGCGTAATACGTCATTACAAGAAACATCGCTATGCAAATGTAGAACGCATAACCACAAAGAAAAACTGTTCGGTAACTATTTCAGTGGTCCAGTCTTCACTATTTGTCATATAGAATTACTTATTCCAATACAAATACAAACTGTAATGATATGTGTTGACAATTGTGCGTTTCAACCTATTTGAACTTGCGTAAGGAGTCTTAGACTGTATCAATTGTAACGTTAAACACACAGTTTAACAAGTAGCCTATAGTAACTGTGCGTAGCCAAACTATTATTAATTAAAACTGCCTCTCTGCTCTAGGCCTAGCCTATGCTATTCATTCGGTATTCCTCTGCCTAATAATTAGGCCTATAATAGAAATAAGTCCCTCCTTTTCGATTGGAAAGGAGTATGGTAGACGTCTACTTTGTACCGGTATATGAGTTGTGAATAATTAATTCGAAAAAAATATACTATACCTATTTGTTGAGTCTTGACGAAGAAATGAACGCAAACATAAGGATTTAAAATTGTTATGGAAAATTATCGAAATTGCACCGGAAGTAAATATTGTGTCCATTGGTTACCTGGCATGCGAGAACAACCAGTATGTAAAAACAATAAGGTAGACTAGTCTCCCTTGGATGATAAATGTTGTTCGGTTCAAACTTAAAGAGATTGAACTACACGAAGGCATTAAACTGATTACCAATAACTTTTTCTAGAATGATTGGCAGATACAAAAAATTATATTGAATGAAGGAATATATATTCCCAAATGTTGTGGGGAATTACATCGCGTCTTATTATAATGACCCGTAATTTAACTGTAGCTTAAGCCCACACGTACGACGTAGTTCGGGATATTGCTTGGCCATTCATTGTAGATTATTTCAGCTCTGAATTCGTAGGTCTCATTACACTCGCCCTGTATGCACGTTCAGGAACCGTCCTATTGAATCCTTGGCGAAACTAAAATCGCAATTTCGGCCCCATCAAAAATTCATTCACAAGATACACTATTACAAAGAAATATCAAATTTACTTGTTGGGAAGGACGATCATAAATATCTTGAGTTTGAGGAATTGCAAATTCCATTCCTTGAGCATTCATATAAAGTTATTTTTACAAAGGAAGAATGGTCAAGAATATGTTTATTTGAGCACCATTTTGCGCAAAGCTTGTCATTGAGTCTGTAGGTGATAGTATTAAAAGGCGTTGGGACTATCTCAAATCACTAAAAGAAGCCAAAAACTTAAGCAAATCTGTTGTAAATAGTGCCTAACTATTCAATTGAGACGTCAAAGGATAACATCAAATACTGTTAGTGAAGAAATACAATTATCAACAATTAACAAACATCATCCTGCTATTTTAGAATCGCAAATTTTCAACGCAGTCACAACAATATTTCCTGTTGAAATACAATCAATTACGTGCGTAAAATGTGTGTCCTGATATCCAGGATTGTTTTAGATACAGTTGACATTATTGTCGGCTGTACTAGAAACTGCGAAGCACCAACCGACAAATTAACAAAACAGATGATATTAAACATTTGCAACAAATATCATTCGTTGAACTGTCATCATATTATGTTCATTGATTCCAATTCGCTAACACCATACCTGCAAAAAAATGGTCAAATTGCAAGATTCAGTCTTTATGACGACATCCGGTTAAAGAAATTAAGTACACATATATTGTTTTTATGTAACGTTTTACAAGAAAATGTAGTTGCAGACAATATTAGTGTCGACGGATTAATTGAAAGATGCCAGTCATGCTTTGACGTATCACTGCCTAAGCCTTTGTCTGTCACAAATTTCGACATTCTCCGGGAATTTCATTTGGATGTACCATTGGAAATGCAACTTATTCTTGAAATGTTCATTAACAAAAATACTCTTTACCACAAGAACTTATCTGAAAATTTCTTAAATAGAAAATATGAACGATTGTACTCTGTATATGAAATTCTACTGAATACATTTAACAAAAAGTTTATTGAAATTTTGCAACAGAGAATAGCAGACAAACTTTTAATGAACTATCACAGCATAAGTATGCTATTCAAAATCACAAGTAAATATGGATTTACAGCATCACTGACATTTGCTGAAAACAACCTTATATCAAAGTCGACAGATGACCCGCTCTACTACCAGACCTATATCAAGGAGTACCCTATTACATATGATACTCTTGTTGGTAATGTGACTCAAATGGTTAGCCTTAGGCAGTGTCACTTGATTTTGATGTTGGACAATCTCGTATGTCTGAAGTATCACAGTGATCCCGATCCTGAAGAACATCGCTCAAAACAACTGTGCATGCTACCAATAACACTTCAAGGGTTGCCAAAAGACTCAAAAGCAACAGAAAACTGGCATGATGTGAATATCTGTGATGGATCACAACATTGCTAATGTAAAAAGCAACATGTTTTGAGCAAAGAGGAGGTTTTTGATACCATTTTGAATCTTTCACATTTAGAGGAAAGAAGTTTGGAAATATTTGATAACATATGCAGATGGGGAAATATTTAATAGCCTTTGGAGAATGTTACAAGGTAAGACTATTAATGTGCATTAACATCAACAATCTGACAAATTTGAAAAAAAAACCCCAAATGTTCCTTTAGCTATAAATAATGGATATTTACCCTTACTTTAGAAAAGGATACCATTATATACAACGGTTTAGGGCCAAGGCACATGAAACGATTTTGCTTAACTTAAAGCAGCTAAGTCTCTAACTCAATATCATCCAAAATCTTCGACATTGAAAACACGAATTATTTGTTAATTTAAATTAACATTGATGTTGTGATCTTACCGGGAAAAGATGAGCTTCTGATATCCAATATTTTAAAGACAAAATAAACATTTTACCATTAGTACACGAATCGTGTACCATAATGCGTTTCAGGCCCATTCTAACAAGGGACTCGAAGAACGAGGCTAGACATTCAACAAGTCATGTCAAACGGTGACGGCATATTCATAGTAATAGTATGCGCAATAAATACTATGTAGACTAGAATAACCAGACGCTAGAGATTTTCATTCGATTGAGACTTCTGACATATTTCGCCGAACGTAACTGATTTAAAATAAGAGTAAAAATGTAAACGATTGAATGTAAATCAGTTTATATACATTCCTATTACATTATTATATGCGTTACGACCCATTTGTGTCAATTTCTAGGTTCAAAATATTAGCGATTTAGCTCCTTTAAGGGCTACATTCAAGAATATTTTTGTATTTTAAGAAAAGGCAGAGTTACAAATTTGGGTCATTTATAAGTTGGGTAACAAGAGAATTATTATTATTATTACAGCATATTTATAGTGCACCCTTTCATATAACATGTTCAGGGGCACTTTGCAAAGTGACAATGTAATCATAAATAAACAACAAGATTATGGACATGTTAACAATTATATACAGAGTCAGTTAAAAGCCTGATTAAATAAATCTGTTTTAAGTTGTTTTTTTAAAAGAATATAGAGATGTACAACATCTTAAACTAAATGGTAGATTATTCCATAAAACAGGTGCTTGATAACTAAAAGAGCGCTGACCATAAAAGACTGGTTGAACAGTTTTGGGCCTTAAAAGTAGTTTATCTGATGTACGTAATGTTCGGCCAGGTGTATAAAGTTCTAAAAGATCCGAGAGATAAACAGGAGCTAAATTAAGTAAGTAATAAAATCTTCAAATCAATTCGATATTTAACAGGTAACCAGTGTAAATTATATAAAACAGGAGTTATGTGGTCACATTTCTTAGTTAAGGTAACAAGTCTAGCTGCAGTATTCTCTACTTTTGGTAATTTATCTATCAGCTTAAAAGGTAAACCAACTAAAAGTGAATTAAAGTTATCTAATCGAGAAGTGACCAGAGAATTAACAAGTGACTTAGTGGCCTCTACAGTTACAAATTTTACTTTCAAAATTTCTTTTTTCTTGACAGATGATAATGACAATCCTATTAGTTTATCCTATAGCTAGCATAAAATATTTTACACATTTTCAGATAATACTTGTACATTTCCAAAGACTTCATGGCTAAACAAGTTCTTCAAGAAGCCATTGTATTCAACCAAGAGATGGTGCCAAACTCTACATCATTGAAACCTGTTGAAGAACTGAAGTCACCAGACGATTCATCCCCTATTCCTTTCATCCAGGTAACATTTCACCATTACCTATCTTATTTCAAAATGATGAATGTGTTGAGGCGATGTTGAAGTCAGTTCGATTCTATACATAGTCCCACTCAAAATATTTCACACTGCAAAGATTTAAAATCTAGTTTGTCATAATATCTTGTCTAAAAATCATTATTTTTGTGTTTCAGATATCTCCAGATGATTTTTCCTCGAATTATCCATTGTACACAAATGGCGATGACTTGAACGAAATTGTTCATGATACCTGTAACATTTTAGTTGGCTCTATGGACCTTGGGGTTACCCTCGACGATTCCCTTTTGGAAACATCTATGGAACAACTGACGATTCAAGAAACTGAACATGAGCAACAATCTATAATTTCAATGTTTGGTTTTGAAAAATTTACAACACCTCCATTACATGTATTTACAAGGCATTCACCTCCAGCAAGTGGAAGAGATAACGATATCAATAAGCTAAGAGAAATCTTAGATGATATTCTTGTAAAAGCTGGAATGGATAAAAACATTGAAAGCGAGTCAGTTTCATTCAATAGAATTCTCTTTGACCCAGACAATAAAATTGGTATTAATTTGCTGTCCCTTATTGAGGAAAATAAAAAATATGAGAAATTTTTGCCCGAGTTTCCACTCCTTCATCTCAGAAAATACAATGTCAATACTTTGTTTAGTGCATATCGCTACGCGGGATTGGTAGAATTATAGATGGTCATGCATGACGAAACAACTACAGAATGGTCAAAGTCAATAACTGCTGAACACATTGCTACTGCTACACGGCATATTAGAAGGCTCTCCTAATCTCTTCAGTTTGCTTTTACCCTTAAATTTGTTCAATACCTACCAAGCACGGATGCGCAGTTATTTGTTGAGAATAAACTAAATCAAACGCCTCTTGAGATAGCCCAGAAATGGAATGATAAGTTTTGTGAATTTATGGTTACAATGAGAAAAGTTTTGTGAATTTATGGTTACAATGAGAAAAATAAATGCTACTTTTACTCTCCATTATGATATGATGATACATTGTAATGAAGTTGTAGCTGTGAAACTAGCAGAGAGCGTCTTGGTGGTGAGAATGGCTACAGTCTGTTATTGCCATTGGGAGCGGGAAAGTCATCTTTGTGGTTTTCATTCTTAAATGGAGCTAGTTCTTATGCACCCTATCGTACTCGCCTATTGACAGAGCATTATACAGCTGGGATCTTTCACCAGAATTTGAAAAAATGTCTCGATTGACTTTAAATTTATACACAGTGTTTAAGGTCTTGAGACGAAGAAGCCTATTGATTTTCAGCGATTTCCGATAATTACTGCCAGAGTTATGGCCCTTTATCACTTCAAAAAATCTTGTGGACGCTCTAGAGGCCAAAGTTAATATCCGATTGATCTTAAATTTATACACATTTTTTAAGGTCATGAGACGAAGAAGCCTATTGATTTTCAGCGATTTCCGATTATTACTGCCAAAGTTATGGCCCTTGATCACTTCAAAAAATCTTGTGGACACTCTACAGACCAAAGTTAATATCTGATTGGCTTTAAATTCATACACAGTGTTTAAGGTCATGAGACAAAGAAGTCTATTGATTTTCAGCGATTTCCGCCAAAGTTATGGCCCTTAATCACTTTGAAAAATCTTGTGGACTCTCTAGAGGTCAAAGTTAATATCAGATTGACTTTAAATTTATACCCAGTGTTTAAGGTCATGAGACGAAGAAGCCTTTTGATTTTCAGCAATTTCCGATAATTACTGCCAGAGTTATGGCCCTTGATCACTTTGAAAAATCTTGTGGCTGCTCTAGAGGCCAAAGTTAATATCCGATTGACTTTAAATTTATAATCAGATTTTAGTGTATTATAAATGTTTCATTACCGAAAATTAAAAATATGCGACAACTCTTCTTGACTGCCCGGACGATTTAACTGCTGTGGGCGTATGTTTCGTTGCCTGGCAACCTATCTTATGATTTGCTGTTCAAAAATTCATCATCCTTCTACTAGATCATGGGATTATATTGCCGAATTAATAAAATGTTGAAAAATAGTCTAGAGAGATTAATTACATTTACCAAGAACAGCTCTTTTGGCATTTACAGTAAATATAGCTTTTCAATATTTTAACGGTGTAATTGTGAGCTCAGTTTTCGTGATTAGATACTTATTAGACAGATATATAGATAGATAGATAGATAATGGATAGATAGATAGATGATTAGATAGATAGTAGATAGTAAAGTATAGCAATATATTTTAATTTGAAATACTTATTGATAATAAGTATTTGTAGTTTTGATAATGGAACATTTTTTAAACGTGAATGGTTTGATGAAGGTATATAATGCGTTTATATTTATTTGTTTATTTCTATTTCTATTATGGCTCTTCTTAATGGAACTGGAACTCGCATTAATTTGGTTTCCAGTGCCATGTTAAACTTTTCAGTGTGTAAAAAAAGCGGTTTATGTTTCGTCATTTTTGTTGAAAATCGTTATTTTTTTCTTGATCTTAATACTATAGATCATTGCCTTTTCAGTCAGCATTCCAAAAACATGCTTAAACCTGCAGTGGGTGAGATATAGATAGAATAAAATGACATACCTAAATTGAGCTATTTTGGTACCTTGCAGCACTAAGTCCCTATACCAAAAACCACTCAATGAAAGTCCATCAAACTTTCAGAATGTATACTCACTAACCATATCTGCTACCCTATAAAGTTTTATTAATCTGATGATTTTTTTTTAGCTTTTTTCGGTCTTAAAATTTCAAACTTTTTTCTACACTCTAAAAATAGTTCGATTGATCTAAAATTGTGGCAGTGGGGTTTGGAGGGGTTACCCATCATACATAAAAAAAATAGTGAAAATCGGTCACCCACCATGTGCCGGTCCCTGCATGGTTTTCTCGCAAATGCATTCTTAAATATAATGATAAAATTTCTTTTTTAAATCAAAAAATTACATTTACATTTCATCAGAAACATACAACGAAAAACAAATCTCGAACCTACTACGATAACAATAAGACTAATAAGAGTTGCCTTTCTTGCTTTGATCTTCTATTTATTTCGTTTTTTTTTTTTATTCAGAAAGTTTAGGGAGATGATTAATCATCTATATATATAAAAAGAAAGAAAGAACAATAAAAATGTGTTGTTTTATTCAAAATACAGGTTGTTTTGGATAATTAAAAGTTGTTTTGGGTAAATCTATGGACCCCTTCCGTACCACAGTTGCTAGATATAGGCTAGAGTTTTTATACGCCAACATTTTAATGTGGATGTATATTGTCGTCGTCTCTTTTTTGTCCTTTTTTAATGAAACTTAAAATATATGTTTATATATGCCAAAGATCTCAGTCCATTGCAATATTCGGTCATTTCAGACCATAACTTCCTGGATTATGCCCCCTGATTTGCACAAAAAATCACCTTTTTTATAGCTTGTGCAAAATGTAGGCATAGATTTCTATGACTGTACAATATAAAAACATTCATATTTTCATTAAGCTTCGTCATTTCTCATGAAATTATCATAAAATAAAAAATATAAAAAATATAAAATTTCACTATTTCTCATAAAATGAGACAAAAATATTTTCAAAATATAAACTTAAAGTTATAAACGAAATAACTACTCCCAACCCTATAATAGATTTCTATACTAATAAATCTGGATGTTAATAAGAAAATCATCCAGGCATTTTATGACCCCCAGCTTGGTGCTCTCTTTAATTTTCTATTTGACAGTGCTCAGTCAATGTTGTGTGGGTATATGAACATAGGAGAAGATGACTGCGGCCATTAATACCACCAGTGGGACTTTCTTAACCACATAACACTGGCTGAACACAACTTCATGGACCAGAGATAAGTTATTTATCGTCAGTGCGATTTTTAAAAAAAACAAAACACGTTTATAGCTTGTGGACGCTCTTAAGTTATTGACTTTAATTTTTAAAGACCACATAAGATGGCCAAAAATTTTTTTCGCTACGTGCAGCCAATATTTACTATATCCACTTTACGGCAAGCTCACGCAATCTGATTAAAATTAATTCGGCTATTAACGTTTGAGTATTCGACACGCCAAAACACTTTTCAATTTTTCAATTACGACCTTAATCCGGTTGATTGGCTGTTGACGTCACAGGCACTACACATAGTATATACATTATCTATACACAATATATCACTACCTGGACAGTATATCTCTGATATACACATCACGGTCCAATTAACACGTGACTGGCCTAATCATAATCACCGAATTATCGTCTTGCACTGTTATAGATTAGACATTTTGTGATTGGAGTATTTTCAAGTGAATTTAAAATGCTTTATCATGCCGTAGATCAATTTAAGCGTCCTTTGTTCAAAAAGGCCATGTGACATGAAGACGACCAAAGCAATTAGCCCATTTACCGGTAATTTGGATAATACTTGATTTCCCAAACTATCTCTATATAAGCACAGAAATACAAATAGTGCCAGTCATTTGTCGTTATATTCATTATTGGCTATATATAATTATAATTTCTATACACAAACAACTTATATCGTAACTCCATTTGAAATTCACGGCGAATATTTAATTGTTCAATGACTATGCATAACAATAGATCGCCCTCATTTCTGGGAATCTTATTACCGTGTACGGTGCCATGCATACTACGGCTGTAGTAACTGACGTTAAATTTTGGAGCGACAATTGCATGGGATTCATGGACATGAATATCAAATACACGTGATCATCATGACTGAAGTTCCTGATGCCGTTTAAAGAGCTATTAAAGTGTGAATGTAATTGTTAAATACTTTTTTTTTATAAAGAAGTTAAACGATGTTAGACAATAACCAAATCTTATCACAAACGTTTATCTATCAAATAATTTATATTCAGATTTCGTATCAAGTCCATTAAATGTTGTCTAAACGCCAATCAACAAATAATACAAGGCTACTTTATTACAAAAACCTCGGTGAACAAATCTAATTGATTATTGGGTAAAAAATAATTATAAACAACTGATGAGTAATGTACGATTCAACGATTAGTTGTGTTGTGGAGAAATGTTTGCAGCAAAGTTCCCCCGTAACTTGTGTCGTTCGTTTGTGGAGTTTTAACACTTTCTACCTAGAGTGATATCTTTGATCTGGCGGGCTGATAATAACCTAATCAGCATTCTTAATCCAACATCTAAGTGTAAATTAATTTATAACCCCATGTGTGTGCAATGCTAATCTACATCAATATGTAAATTAATTTATGGCTCCATGTCTGCAACTTTAGTCGGATTGATTAATGATAGATATTAACGAAACTACAATGTACACTTGCCATATTATTATTATTACACACTGGGATAGTTAGATGACTGTTCTCAATCTCTTAATTCTAACGTATAATATTGAGATATTTTTTCGTATTTCATTTTTGCGGTCTATTTCAGAGTAATGAAGGCCAAATCCACATGCAGAAAGAAAGACGCCGTACGATGGCTACAGGAAAACGAGATACGGATCGTCATTAACAAATCACGTTTCAGTCATGTTTGACTTTAATGGTAGAGTGGCTCTTATCAAAAAGTCACTTTAAAACACAGTTTTAAAATTGCTGTCGTGAGAAGAGAGGGCTTAACATTATAAAACAAATTATAAATAGAATCGTAAATTAAAATTAATTACAAAACAAATTATTCCGCAGTCAATTGTTTTATTTAATAAGGGGATTAAGGAGTCAGTCAAGCATTAATGAATACATGCCAGCTGTATATAGGTAATTAAGGAATATGCATTCGGTCACTGTGACGTCACTGGCATCTGAGGAGATTAAGAGTGTTTTCGATAATTGGCAAAGTCGTTTTTATGGGAGGTCTATTTTTGCGACTTTGAGTGAAGATAGCTGAATTAATTTCGATCAGATTGGTGTGAACTTGCCGTAAATTGGATATAGTAACCATTTAAATTTATACACAGTGTTTAAGGTGATGAGACGAAGAAGCCTATTGATTTTCAATGGTTTCTGATAATTACTGCCAGAGTAGAAGCTCTAGAGGGTAAAGTTAATATATGATTGACTATAAATTTATACACACTGGTTAAGGTCACTTATTCCTTCTATCCTAAGGAACATCCCTATTGTTTCTGGTGAATGCCCAACCCCCAGGGGTAGAGCCACGCCCATTTTATTTTTGTGTGTCTGTGTGTCACTTACAGTTCGCAATTCTTAATCGATCGTCTTGAAAACTTTTTTATACTTATTCTTTATACACTAAGGCTTACCTCTATTATTTATGATGCATGCCCAACACCCTGGGACAGAGCCACACCCAATGTTTTGTGTTTCGCCTACAGGCCGCATTTCTTAACAGATCGTTTTGAAGCTTTGCATACCTATTCCTTATACCCTAAGGATGACCCCTATAGTTTTTTTGGTGATTGCCTAACCACCAGGGGCAGAGCCATACCCATTATTTCTTTGTGTCTCTGTGTGTTGCCTACAGTCCATGATTCTTAATGGATTGTCTTTGAACTTGGGATATGTCTTCCTTATAGCCTTAGGACAACAATTGCATGTTCCAACCCCCAGGGGCAGAGCCACGCCCAATTTTTGTGTTTATCGTTTACCGGTCGCAATTCTGAATGGATCATCTTGGTACTTAGCATATGTATTCCTTATAGCCTAAGGGTGTCAACTATTGATTTTGGTGAATGCCCCGACCCTCAGGAGCAGAGACACGCACAATGGATTATCTTGGAACTTGGTATACTTATTCCTTATACCCTAAGGATGGCAACTATTGATGTTGGTGCACGACCCCCTGTCCACCCCCACCCCCACCCTTTTTGGTGGTGCCACTGCCACACCCACTTTTTGTTGATATTTTGTCAGTAAATGAAATATACAGGTTGCAAGTATTGACAGATTTGGATCCAATTCGGAATGATCCAGAATAGGGTTGCACCTATACATGTATATACTAAACACAAAAAAAAACGTCAGTACGATTTCAGTATCAGAGAGGCACTTTAATCAAATCATTCTAGAAAACGACTTACTAAATGGATCAAAGCAATTTTTTGTGAACAGTATGTTGCCATATTAATGATTAATTCATCACAATTCCAAGACATTACGAGAAGGTTTAGAGTCTGTACACAGTCTATACATCAGTATCTGGTGTGTCCACCGCGAGAGTCAATAATAATAGCAACACAGCGTCTGTACATGGAGTGGACCAGTCGATTGATGAACACCATTGGCACCTGGAACCACACTCTCAGAAAAGCCTGGCGCAATCCATCGGCTGTGTTTGGTCTCTGAATTTCATCCCAATGATGTTCAATCCGGTTTAAGTCCGGACTAAGTGCTGGCCAGTGCATAATGTTGACACCGTTCTGCTGTAGAAAGTCCTGAGTAACTCTGGCGGTGTGGGCACGGGCATTGTCATGCTGTATCGGTACTGATGGGTCTTCCTAGTGTTTCCACTGTCTGCCGTGCTGTCTCAGATCATGGTGGTCTTGTCGCCTTGTAGTAACACTTGGTCTACCAGTTCGGGGGCGATCATCTGTGGTGTTGGTGGCCCGAAAGCGTTGCTGAATCCTGTAGATGGTCCGAACACTGACCTGGAAGTGATTGGCAACAGCTTGGGCAGTGTGGCCAGTGTAGAGTCTTCCAAGCGCCTGGTTCCGCTGAGCTGTCATGAGTCGTGGCATGCTGCTGACGTTATAGGATGAATGATTCAACCAGGTATGGGGATGCATTTTATAGGGCTGGTCCCGGTGAGCAGCACGTGCAGCATGAGTTACATGAAAATCATGGAGAACACATTACCATCTCAGAAGTCAGGTTGCCTTTTTGAGAACATTCCTGGGTTCAATTCTGTGTTTGGGAAAGAGCCTTATTGCTCAGGTAAAGTTGGAGATGTGATCACAAATATACAATAAAAACATTTGGCAAGTTTTATGCAATGCGTCTTTTCAGAGTAACATGTCATACCAACCTGACGTTTCTTTTGCTGCTTAGTATAATATATTGGTCCATGTCCAACCCCCAGGGGCAGAGCCACGCCCAATTTTTGTGGTATTTGTCTTCAGGCTGAAATTCTAAATGGATCATTTTGGAATTTGGCATATTTATTCCTTATACTGTAAGGATACCAACTATTTATTTTGGTGCATGTTCCGACCCCCAGGGGTTTTGTACCACACCCACTTTTTTGTTAGTTTTTATCAGTAAATACTCTACAGGTTGCAATAATTAACAGATTTTGTTCAAATTGAGCATATCAATCACTTCAATAACAGGGTGGTACCTATTTATATTGTTCCATATTTTTGCCCTCTAGATCGGTAATTTCTTGATTAGGCCAGGACCCTGTTTCACAAAAACTTAAATCTCCTTAAAATCGTCTTAAACTAAAATTCCATCCTAACATAAGACAGATGTGTTTCACAAAACGATTTTAAGCATATTAGGTAAAATCCACTAAAATAATATTGTAAGTTAAAATTGTATCTTAACTTACAATAGTGGCATTTCACAAAACTATTTTAGGGACAATTTTAACTAAAATCTATTGTAACTTAGGACAGCTGTCACCTTCTAACTTAAAATCATGACATTAACAAACATTAATTAGAGATACGTTGTGAGATCTATTGCGACATATAGCAGATATAATTGGAATATAGATAATATTGTCAATGGCCCGGGTTATATAATTTAAACATACTATCATTCACAAAAATAATTTTCATTCAATTTCTTTTCATTGCCTGGGAAATATAGCTGCGGCCCACCGGTTTATTTTATTGTAAGTCAATATAAGCAATTAGATGATGCCCCAAATTAAAACCCCAAGAACAAAAAAAACCCTCAAAACCCCCAGTAAACAAAACTCTTTGTTACTATTTTATATATTACCATATGATTCAAGTATAAATTATACTATTTTCAAATAAGTAATAGACCCCAAAAAAAAAAAATCTAAACCCACTTCCATATCTGCGAGAGAGAGAGGGGGGTGAGAGGGAGAGAGTTTTTAATGTCCACTAGACACACACTAGGTCATTTCGGCACTAACACATGGTTCAATTTTATTTGAATAATTCGCTTGTGCGTTGGGATCTTTAGTAGTAGGAGGAACCGGAGAAAACCCACGAGGTTGGACAGGCGACCCTACTCCCTGTCACGTACAACCGGGGAATCGAAACCCCGTCTGTCCTATAATACTAGATACGCCATATGCAAAGTATTAATTATGGTTTTGGGGTTATGATGATTTATATAGGAGCCAAGGGTATTTTATTTTGTGAAAAAATCATTTTAATTTAATAAGATAAATAGGCATTATCCAATAAGGAGTGTGTCATTTTGGCATTTTCAAATTATTATTGAAAGGGTCCATGGGACTGACATTTCAAATCTAGGCATCGGAACATTGGTTATTTCGTGTATTAGTTTAAAATTTATTAAATACTTTTAAAATTCGACAATACTTTAGTCTAGATTAATCATTTGAGTCAGAAATATCACATGTTTGTGACAATTTCTCAATAGTTTCTGTTATCCAAAATACCACAAAACTACGAAATTCAAGCCATTTAGTTTATCGATACGCATTATTTCCATTGAAGTCTGTGAGTATTTCCAATGCCAAGGTCATGAAAGAGACATGCAAGTTCAAGGCCAACCAACTGATGTATTTCAAAACAAATAACACGCAATAAACTTATTTATTTCATCTCTCTACGACTGTCTGACCATGTGCAGGCATTGTTACAACGTATGAAACTCTCCTCATTGGTATTGTAACGGTTAGTTCAACCTGGCAACAGTTGTCAGTTCCGAAGCGTGTATGCTTACACCCTAAGTGCCCTTGCCGGAATTGTGCAATGCGCGAGCGCAAGCAATTTTAACTAAAATCTATTAAAATTGCATTTTAAGTTACAATCGATCTTCGTGAGACGCATAAAATTTAAAATTTCAGTTTGATTTTAGTTAAAATCTATTTTAGTGATTTTAGTTTAAGTTTTTGTGAAACAGGGCCCTGGCCCCCAGTCTGTTCCTGTGCGGTGGGAGGGGGGAGCTGAAGGAATTTTCCCCAAAGATTTCTGAGTTACCCTGCCCTGAGTTCAAAATAAGCAATACGTACATTTCAAATTATGTGATACTTAACTGGCAATATACCTAGTCATGAGGATGAAGCTATGTATGTCGATAGTTATAGCTTGGGCCTAATGTCTGTCCTGGTGTTTAAATTCTGATTACCACATGCATTGTTTAGTCTAATATTTTTAGCAAATATAGGCTCTCCAAGATTATTTAATGTTTGAATAAAAGTCTGTTGGCAAAAATGTCTGGTTATTTATAATTTTATGTAGTAAATATTAGATATGATTTACATTGTAACATACTTATGGGTGAATCTTGGGTTTTGTTTGATTGGTCAATTAGACACTGTCGATTGGACAATAACACCTCTCTGTTTTAGCAAGGCGAATAACTGCGTATAAATATTACAGTGTACTTTTTTCATTTTGTGCTCAACCGTCTTCCTCAACCCAAATCTTTATTGACAAATATCTTCAAGAAATTCTGCTCAAATGGCCATCACACTATTTTCAAACTTTATCCATTATCCAAACACATCTCTGAAATACATAAAACAGTAGAAAATCAGTCATAAATTCATAAAAACGTTTGTGCTCAACCATCTTCCTCTACTCAAATCTTTATTGACAAATATCTTCAAGCAATTAAATCTTGATAACAACAATTGTTGCGAATTTCTCTGTTTATCCAACACACCCTATTTCACTTTAAATTTAGCAATGTACTTTAATTTTAAATTTAGAAATGTCTCTTGCCTTTGCCATCCCCACTCATGCAGGGCAGCTGTTAAATTTGATCATGTTATTGGATATATTTTGAGACTTTTTTGGTTCACTGTTTTAAATTTTACAATTTTATTTATTTAATCAACACTTGGTGTTTTTCAGACAAAGTACCGGTATCTCAAACACATATGTCATCATGTCAAAGACACATCATTGTTTCTGAAGATGAGCTTGAGATGTGTGTCCAAGATTTACATAAGGTAAAACTTTTATACGCCCACATTTTCTTGTGGACATATAGCATTTATGTTCACATTTGCTTGAGGACATTCTACAGGTCACAATGTTTATACGCCCACATTTTCATGTGGATCTATTATGCTGTTGCCCCTGTCCGTCCATGTGTACGTTCACATTTGTTTGTCGACAATCTGCAATCTAAAAATAAGTAAAAAAGACATTTAAATATATCGCCGTGACACCATAATGACAGTTATGTTTGAATTCTGTGAAAATCGGACCAAAACTGCTTGACAGAATGGCCACTCCCTGTACGCAAATAGTACCAGAACTAACGCAGTCATATGGGACGACAATCACTAGTTTATTATACACAAGCACGACGTTTCGATAAGTGTTCTCTTATCGTTATCAAGCACAATGACGTACGTTCATTCGTAGGGTTTTACGATTTTTTTACAAAACATATACACATATAACTATATACCTGCATAAAACAGAAAGGTATAATATATATATATATATATTTATCACCCAATAATACATTCTACAGGAGATATCGCTTGTGTGATATATTTCATAATCTACTGCGATATCTCCTTAGGAGATATCGCTTTACATGAATTTGATTGGTCAGTTGGAAAGGAACTACTTTTTTTTATTTTCAAAGAACAGTACCTTTTTTTTTAATTAAAAATGAACTATTTTTATTCAATTGATCTTGATGGAAACACTGGGTCAATATAAAGGACTTTGTAATGATGTATCACTACGCCGTAATGTTCATTAAAAGTGAATCTACAGCAAAGAATTATATTTATCTATTTGTGCATGTAAGAAGGGATTGGGTGATAAATAAAATCTCCTACTTGTCTTTTTTGATATCAAAAAATATCAACACTCGTTGATATTTTTTGATATCAAAAAAGACTGGTAGGAGATTCTCTATATAATTGAAATTAAAGATGGCAAAGTAAAACTACATTTTTATACTAACGTTTTCGCCGTGATAGCAGCTCTTCAGGCATTTATTAAACAGTAATTCAATTAACAATAGTCTATGACATCACAATGTCATAGTTACATGATAAAATTATTATACAGGCAAGGGTAGTTACTCCGTAGCCTACAGAGTACAAATATTTCAAATAAGAATGTGTTTCTGGTTCTCTTAATTGTCTGTCCCTCTGTCTAGCCGTCATACTCTTTAGGACACAATAACTTTGCTTCTAATTGAGCTAGAATGTTCAAACTTAGATGTTTTTCAGGTGAATGCCTTGGTGGAGTTTGAAGATGAGCATTTTCTGCTTAGGGTAGCAGAGATAAGCAATTTGATTGGTTGATTCTTTGGGACACGATAACTTTAGTTCTAAGTGAGAGTGATGAAACTTGGTGTATAGTTAGATTACATCAATACGGTAACAAAGTTCGATGCTAAGCATTTCTGCTTAGGCAAAGTAGAGACCTCAGTCTGATTGATCAAGACTTTGGAACACCATAACTCTTCTTCAATTGGTAGAATGTTCAAAGTTGGTGTAGGTGTCTTATTACTATGTGAATGCCTTGACAGAGTTCGATCATGCGCATTTTCCACTAAGGCTAAGCAGAGATAAGCAATTTGATTGGTTGAGACTTTGGAACACAATAACTTTAGTTCTTATTGGGTGAGAGCAATGAAACTTGGTGTATAGTTTTATTATATCAATACATTGACCAAAGTCGATGATGAGAATTTTCTGCTTAGGCTAAGTATGTAGCGATTAGCAATTTGATTGTTCAAGACTTTGGAACATAACAACGCTGCTTTATATTGAGGTATAGATGTTCATTAGGTGAATGTCTTAACTGAGTTCAATGATTAATATTTCCAGTTAAAGCTAAGCAGAGCTAAGCAATTTCATTGGTCGATGCTTTGGGCCAAGATAAATTTGATTCCAACTGATGGAGTGTGATGAAACTTAGTGTATAGTTGCACTACCAGGTACTTCAAAACCTGACTTAGTTTGATCGTGAACATTTTATATTTAGACTAAGCATAGATAATGAGTTTGATTACTCTATACTTTTGAAAAAGATAAATGTGCAATTAATTATTTATACTGTCATCTGTTTATTTTGGATTTCAGCGGGGGGACATCAGCCTCAGTGTTGACTTGTAATCTTGTTACATTTGGTGTTTTGGATATTGAAGTTTCATTTACCAAGGAGTGTTTTGGTCAGCAAAGCAGATTGAACAAGTGTGTATAGGAAATCTTTTTCTCTGTTTGAGGTGTGGGTTGGATGGAAAGAAGAAAATATTTTCTAAATTTAAGGTTTTATTTTCAATGTATATTTTAGGGATAAGGGTTATGTTCTTTATTAGTTCAGGTCTGTATGACAAAGGAAGATATTCCTTATATATTCAAGCTGTTCTGGAATTAAAAAGTTACGAACGTGTGTTGGTTGAGAGGTGACATGCCTTCTTGTTTATTTCGAAACCAGTAGTGGAATAGTCCTGCCCATGCATGTTCAGGATAATTATGAGTCAGAATGTATGATAAGTTGTTGTAGGGTAAATATATTTAGTTTAAGGGCTAGATCTGGTATCTTGAGACCTCCCTTTTCTAAGTTTTCAATTTTGTCAAAGGCTTTTTCTTAAAGAGACAATGCTCCCCCTTATAAATTTCTGCTGTTTCATATAGTGCTTTTCTGCTGATGGATTCTATTGAGTTGGGCCAGAGTAAGGAGTAGATTATTTTATTGATGATTTTCGGATGTTGCAGTCTCTAGGAATTATTTTGAGGACGTACCAGAGTTTGCTTTTAGATAATGTCCTAATTACAAACAAGCGTTTCTTTAAAGTGCACATAAGATGGGTCTGGAAACTTTGAGATACGTGTAGCCAATGGTTACTACATCCACTTTACGGCAAGTTCACACCAATCTGATTGAAATTAATTCTGCTATCTTCACTCAAAGTCGCAAAAATAGACCTCCCGTAAAAACGACTTTGCCAATTATCGAGATTGAGAACGGTCATCTAACTATCTTTGTGTATTGATAAAGTGTACTGTCGTTAATATCTATCATTAATCAATCCGACTAAGTTGCAGACATGGGGCCATAAATTAATTTACATATTGAAGTAGATAATGATTAGCGTTGCACACACATGGGATTATAAATTAATTTACAAGTGAAGATGTTGGATTAAGAATGCTGATAAGGTTATTATTAGCCCGCCAGATCAAAGAAATCACTCTAGGTAGAAAGTGTTAAAACTCCACGAACGAACGACACAAGTTACGGGGGAACTTTGCTGCAAACATTTCTCCACACCACAACTAATCGTTGAATCGTACATTACTCATCAGTTGTTTATAATTATTTTTTACCCAATAATCAATTAGATTTGTTCACCGATGTTTTTGTAATAAAATTGCCTCGTATTATTTGTTGATTGGCGTTTAGACAATATTTAATGGACATGATACGAAATCTGAATATAAATTATTCGATAGATAAACGTTTGTGATAAGATTAGGTTATTGTCTAACATCATTTAACTTCTTTATAAAAAAAGTATTTAACAATTACATTCACACTTTAATAGCTCACCAAACAGCATCAGGAACTTCATTCACGATGATCACGTGTATTTGATATTCATGTCCATGAATCCCATGCAATTGTCGCTCCAAAATTTAACGTCAGTTACTACGGCCGTAGTATACATGACACCGTACACGGTAATAAGATTCCCAGCGTTGATTGGCTGAGAAATGAGGGCGATCTATTGTTATGCATAGTCATTGAACAATTAAATATTCGCCGTGAATTTCAAATGGAGTTACGATATAAGTTGTTTGTGTATAGAAATGGTTATTATAATTATATATAGCCAATAATGAATAGTAACGACAAATTACTGGCACTATTTGTATTTCTGTATAGAGATAGTTTGGGAAATCAAATATTATCCAAATTACCGGTAAATGGGCTAATTGCTTGGATCGTCTTCTTCTGTCACGTGACCTTTTAAACAAAGGACGCTTAAATTGATCTACGGCATGATAAAGCATTTTAAATTCACTCGAAAATACTCCTATCACAAAAAGTCTAATCTATAACAGTATAATACGATAATTCGGTGATTATGATTAGGCCAGTCACGTGTTAATTGGACCGTGATGTGTATATCAGAGATATACTGTACAGGTAGTGATAACTGTATAGATAATGTATATGTGCAGTGCCTGTGACGTCACCAGCCAATCGACCGGATTATGGTCGTAATTGAAAAATTGAAAAGCGTTTTTGTGTGTCGGATACTCAAACGTTAATAGCCGAATTAATTTTAATCAGATTGGCGTGAGCTTGCCGTAAAGTGGATATAGTAACTATTGGCTACAGGTAGCGAAAAAAAAAAATTGGCCATCTTATGTGGTCATTAAAGAGAGATTTCTCAAGCATTCTTTCTTTTGATTCAGGAAGTGATCCTAGTAGTGTATCAGTAATCCTCTTCTGATTTTGTATTGTTTGATCAATTCCGAAAAAATTAAAACAATTTTAACCTCATTTTGTGGTTTTAAACTTGTATTTGAGGTAAATCCATTTATGTTTAGTAACTGTTTTATTTGTAATTTCTTGTGAACACTCTACAGGCTACATTTATCATCTGATTGTTTTGAAATTGATATATATACTGGTATGTTGTTTACATTAGTGAGATGAAGAAGCCTAAATAATTTTTGTTAATTTCTTCTGGAGTTATTGCCCTTGTTTCACTTTGTTGCACTTTGTGTGAACGGTGTAACAACAAAAGTTACCACCTGATCTGTATGAAACTTAGTAATTGCATCATTTAAATCAGTGAAACAAAGAAGCCTATTGAATTTTAGTAATTTCCTTTAATTATGTCTTGGAGTTATGGTCCTTGTTCCACTTTGTTAAACCTTGTGAACGCTGTTACAGCAGAAGTTATCCAATCTGTATGAAATTTATATGCATCATTTAAATTAGTGAAGCAAAGTGGCCTATT